TCTTATATGACACTGATATACAATCCTCTCCCACTCCAATCAATATCCCAGTAATAGCATCCACACACTCTCTCAACACAACACCTGAGTCAAACTATCAAATCTGTCTGGATGATCCTGATATGACTGGTCTGTGTTAGTTTCAGTAATCATTCTGTTCTCCTCAGACAAACAGAGGTATTTATGCACTGTGTTTTCATCCAGCGTGAACCAACAGAAATCTGAAAGAGATAAAAACACATAAGCCGCTTCTAAATCTGATTATTGACATCAGATGGCAAAATTTTACCCTTGTGTGCATGTGTATGTTGCCATTTTTACTTACATTGTAGAAACTCCTCCCTTTTCTTGGGTTCAGGGGTGCATTTAGACTCGATGTATTTTACTATGAAAACCAACAGAAACTAGAAGTTTAATATTAAAGAAAAGAGAACATATGTATGTAATTCCATATATGTTTTATGCATGCATGTTTTTGCATGATGCTTGACATATTAAATGATTGATCCAGTGCATTACCCATATCAGACATTTTTTTCTATCTCCTCTCTGCAGAAATGTTCCAGTTTCTCTCTCAGATCAGACACAGATTTACCAACATCATCAAAAGAGAGACGAGAACTGTCAGTGATGCTGGGTGAGTCTGTAGATCCAGGAGGGACAGAGAGACTGGAAACGCTATGCACAGATACAAAGACACAATAGAAAGACTGGATAAAGACACAGAAACATTTGATAGAAACACAATGTCTGTACAACATGCTCTTACCTTCCTAAAGACGACTGTCCTGTTTTTCAGATCTCCGTTACCTGGAGGAAATGGATATAATGGTCTGTGTGTGAAAGCTGCTCCAGCTCAGCGTCTCTCCTCCTCAGATCTTCAATCTCCTGCTCCAGTCGCTTCAGTCGTCCATCAACTCGACTCACTGCAGCCTTTTCCTGATCTCTGATCAGCTGTGTCACCTCAGAGCGGCTTCTCTCAATGGAGCGGATCAGCTCAGTAAAGATCCTCTCACTGTCCTCCACTGCTGCCTGTGCAGAGCGCTGTTAGGACACAGAGAGAGAGAAGCATCAGAATCAGTCCATTCACTCAGCTCTTACTGCTGCCTCACACAGCCTGTTCCCCACAGTGGGCTTCAGTGGGACTGAAAGAGCTCCAGCACTGGCTCCTCACTGACTGACTGGAGGAGAGTCCTAACTGAGTCTGAAACAGCTCTTCAGCAGCCAGCAGTTGTTCTTCTGCTCAAAACTCACCTTGTGAGACTCCATAGCCTTTCTCAGCTCCTCAAGCTGCTTCCGTCTCTCCTGGATTTTGTAGCAGAATTTTCTTTGAGTTTCCTTCAACTGTCTCTGTTGGAAACTGCATTGTGTAGTATTTTTTGTTTGATAACCAATAAGTTTTGACTTTCAATAATATTTAGAAAACATATGGCACCGCCAGATAAACCATTTATACTATAAACCATTTATAATAATATGTTTAAATATTTTTCAGATTTACATTTGATATTTGCATTAGAATCCTTTATATCAGTTCATACCTGTTTCTCAGCCCTCTCTGCTGCAGCTAATACAGTCTTATGGGTTTTGTGCTCATCCATAGCACACAAATAGCATATACAGTGCTGATCAGTGAGACAGTAAATCTCCAGCAGTTTCTCATGTTGAGGGCAGATCATATCCTGCAGTCGTCCAGTGGCGTTCATTAGATTGTGTCTCTTACCTCTGAAGAAAGTCTCATGTTGTTCAAGATGATTTTGACAGTAAGAGTTCAGACACACCAGACAGGACTTGATGGCTTTATGTTTTCTCCCAGTACAGACGTCACACTCCACATCTCTAGATCCAGTATAACATTGAGCAGGATGAGCAGCTTGTAGTTTTGTGTTCTTGAGTTTCTCCAGCACTTCAGCCAGCATGGTGTTTTTACGTAAAACAGGTCTTGGAGTGAAGGTCTGTCTGCACTGAGGGCAGCTATAGACTCCCTTCTGATAATCCTGATCCCAGCAGCCTGTAATACAGCTCATACAGTAACTGTGTCCACAGGGAATGACCACTGGGTCCTGAACTAGGTCCAGACAGATTGAACAGCTGAACTGATCCTGAGCCAAAGAAATGCTAGATTTTGCCATTATACTGTATAAATGAATACATACAGCAGCTCAACAACAGCTTATTCTTAGGAACAGAAACAGCAAAATACAAGAAGGAAAAACCACCAGGTACAGCTCTTACAGACTGACTAGGAAGCAGGGATGAGTTTCACTTCCATTGAAATGAAAGCAGGAGTGGGTAAAAGAGAGAGAACAAACAAATATACCTGGCTGCCACCTGCAGAACTGGTTGCTCCACCCCACATTATTACATTTTATGTTGGACCTTTTAATTATTGACAGACATTCTGTCTGTTTTGCTTTTGTTTTCATGGACTTTTAGTTTGTATTTGTTGTTATGGGTTTTTCATTAATTTGTCCACACCTGTTGTGTTTAGTAAACTTTTTATGTTTTGAACTATTTTTGTGATTTCTTCCCTTTATCATTTGGCTCAACATCACGTTAATATTCTGGGCATATGAATATGACTTTTGGTGGAAGTACATTTAATTCACATATTTCCCTCATTCGCAGTGAAGCAGTTTACTAGACAGTAAAAAAAAAAGGAAATTGTACTGGTAATTTTTTGCCAGGTCCTTATTTAGTAATTTTATGGACATTTTCGCTAACCCTAAAACTCAACACAATGAAGTGCGAAAATCCCACATTCTTTTATATTAATACAGGACACTGTAACTCCTCTGTACCGTTCCCAAGCCTGGGGGCAAGGGCCTTACCAGGCCTGAGCAAGGAGGAGAGTGGTCATCCCGCCAAGATGACCAGAACTGGGTGGCCAGGGAAACTAGGCAAGAAACCGTTGGAACTGTGACAAATCGCAAACACCAAAAATGCTACTGGGGAGCCGATGTGCCGGCATTGGGGTCCCAGGGTGCAGGTGGGAAGTGGATTACTGGCCGAAACCTAGGAGGAAGTATTGGAAAGAAGATCATCACACTGAAAACAGAAATTTGCCTCGGAGCTTGGAACATTTGGACCGGCCGGCCACCACATCGGTTAAAAGGAGATCGTTGCCAAAGAGCTGCTGACGTGCAAGCTTCAAACTTCGACTTGCTGGATCCGGAACAACAACTGTTTACATACCCAGTTCAAATTAAATAAATGGCGCTGTTCTACTCTGGAGGGGAGAAAAGAGTGGCTGGAGTCAGCTTTATGGTGGATGACCAGACAACAAGGAGTGTATTGGCCGTCCAGCTGATATCAATCTGCCTGGCTGTACTAACCATTCACGGCACCAACCAAGCGCACTTTCTAGCCATTTACGCCACAACCAAAACAAGCCCAGACAGGGTCACAGTCAGACGACTTCTCTGACCAATTGCAACACACGCTGGATCCTGAGGACCCAGTTGATTATCCTAGTGGGCGACCTTAACACTCACATTACCACTAACCGTGATGGCTGGGAAGAGACAATGGGTAAGTTTGGCATCTGTAAAATCAATGACAAGAGATTGAACCTTTTATTATTTGCCTCAATCAACCAGTTCGTCATCGGAAATAGCATCTTCTAGCAACCCCATAGGTATCAACTCACTCCAGCAGTTAAACAGTGGCTCTGCAAGCTGTGTCAGAATCAGAAATGAAACATCTAAAGAGTTCTCCATCCAAACTGGGGTTCTTCAAGGAGATGTCGCTTTCCCGAACTTGTTCAACGCAGTGATCAACTCGATCTTGAGAAAAGCATTCAAGGATAAGTGAGGACTCCAATACGGCATCGACAGATATGCGTCCAACCTGACGATTGCAGATGACAGCGCCATTTTGGCCGGGACGGACGCCAAGGTCACCAATACCTTATACGTCATTGCTAGATTCGCTGAACCATTCGGCCTAAAGATCAACATTGATAAGACCAAGGTGCTCACCTTGAACTCATTAGATCACAATTAGATTAGATTACAAAATCCAATCATCAGTTTGTGTTTGTTAAAACCTTTTAGTAAGATTGGGACACCTTTGATCCAAAAAATCTGGATTATGCTGATCCCAGCAGAAGGTTGGATTTCAGGAGCAAACCTAAAATATGTGTATACACCCCGAGAGAGAGTATAGGCTACTATATGACAAAAAGTTTGATTTATTGCCCCTCATAAACCCCCCCTCCTACCATAAATGGACACCTGTTTGGACACCTGTTTCTGTACGCCCCCACCCCATCTAACCGGCCATCTGTTTATCCACCCCAATGTGAAAATGTGCATTAAGACTAGAGCACCCTCACTAATCTCAGAAGAACCCTCAGTGATTATTTTTGAAACCTTGTTGGTACACTTTTGTTGTATAACTATATACAAAAACAACAAAATACAAATGCACTAAGTAAAATAATTTAATAAATGCATATTTACAATTTAAGCACTTAACTAAAATAAGTATTAATAAAATAAATAACTAGAAAAGGCTGACTATATTCAACTTGCTTCCATTTAGAGAAAAGCCTACTCTTCACCTGAATTAGAAAAAAAAGCTCCTCTGGTCTTCAGTGATGCGAGGACAACGTTTGAACGTACACGTAATATCTGTGTGAGAGCAGAGGCAATTCATAAAAGAACAATGCATATTTAAAAGCACATGTCCAGTTTTGTGTGAGTGAAGGAAATCTGCTTGCGAGTGGAGATTCGTGCTCGCGCATTAGGCCTACATGGATCTCGTCACATTATGTGCTCTCGACATTGTCATTAAGATCGCGCTATAGAAGCCGCCTAAAATTAAGTATAAAGAGGAGAAGAAAGCGGTCTTGGTAGCTGCCTACACATGCCAGGATGCGCCACTGCCAGATGCAGTTAGAAATTTACTAAAAACAAGCCTATCGCAAGACTGGTGGGGGGCGGCACCTGGGGTGGCCAGCCAAATTTCGGGGGGGGGGGGCTGGTGCCACCCCTGGCCACCACGTAGATACGCCCCTGCCTTTAGGGGCTACGTAGAGCACTAGTAATCCATATTTGGTAATCTAAAAAAAGTGTATCTGGATCATTGTGACCCAATCCAATGTTGCTTTGAAAAACAAACAGAAACATTGTGCAGAATTTAAAGTATAGGATCCCTGGTGCAGGAGAAGAAGATCGCAGTGGTTGCATCGCTGAAATGGTGCTTTTGGAAGAAGGCCAACATCACGATCACAACCAATTTGCGATTCAAATCGCAACCATTGCACCTTTTCCGGACCCTGATCGTTCTATTCTACTCTACAGATCAGAGACTTAGAACTTTCTGAAGATGGAAATCAACAAACTCAAGGTCTTTCAAATGCAAATGGATGTGCTGAATGGACAACGCCCAACTGCCATCCAAAATACTCTGGCGCTGATGGCCATCAACGTGGAAAGTGCACCGCTATGCAACGGAGAAGACCTGGGCGAAGCAAGTTGATGACAACCTCAAGAATCATCATCTCACCCTTGCGGACAAGTTGTGAAAGACGTCAAAAATCCGTCGGCACCTACAGCAGCATATGACAGCTGATAATAGAGAGGCACAGTACTGTCACAAGTGTGTAGTAATGATAAACACATGACGATGCAGATGAAGTTCCAACAGACTTTAATAATCCACAAGGCAAAATCCAACACAGAGAACCAGTCCAACACAACTCCAACATAGATTTAGGACCTGACAACTGAACTCTGTCATGAATCCGGTCCATGAACTTCCATCTGCTTGCCACCAGAGGTCGCCCTCCCTTTATATTGACTCTCACACCACACAGACTGTTACACATCACCCTGGACTACATTTCCCATGCTCCATTGCACTAATCACAAGCTCACCTGAAACCAATCACACACAGCTGCTACCAATAACACACTATATAAATCAGTCTTACACCACCATTTAAGGCCGAATACTGTTCAGCATTTATCGCTCACCTAGGGATAGCTACTTTACAGATCTCTTCCAAGTTCATGAGTCTAGCCTTGTTCATAGTCTGTTTTCCTGTGTCTTGATCCTAGCCTGTTATCTCATCCTGTCTGATTTCTGCCTGCCCTGAAGTTTATAGCCTGTCTTGGATTTACCCTTTGCCTTGCTGATTCGGACTGTGTTTGCACCTCGATTGGATTATTGCTTGTTTTGGATTTCTCTTTTGTCTTGCCCTCTACATATCTGTTTGCTGGTGTCTGACTCTTGCCTGTGTTGACCCTGCCTGTAAATAAAAGCTTGCATATGGATCCGCATGCCTCTCGTCTCATCAGCTCCGTTACAAACTCAAACTAAACAGAACTTAAATAGTGGAGATAACGAGACACACATGAACAAAATGATGAAATCAAATGAATAACCATTACAACTAACAAGGATCAGGAAACAGTGCAAAACAGAGTCCTTGTGGTGTGAAAAGTACACTGCTAACTTTTTTTTTTTTTTACTACACTACTTTCTTTTTACACTTTTTACAGTGTATAATTTTTATGTGTCTGCTGTGTTAAATTTGTATAGTGTGTCAGCACTGTGTGTTTGTTTGCACTCCTTGTCCATGTATTTCCACCACACAGCTGGACTTTCATGTTCCTCAGCACAAAGTGGGCACAGTATTAAATATGGATGGAAGAACAACACATCATAATGCTTCTCATGTTTACGTGCAATTTGTTTTATTTACATTCAAAGGAACTAATTATTATTTGTATTTTACTGTCAATTTTTTACACATTTATTCTTCTCTCGCTCTTACACTATGACCATAAACGTTCTGATGTCAAGATGTTTAGTCTCATATCTGATGTGTGTGTAATTTCAGTCACACCAGTTGACTGATTTATCAATGTTATTTGTAGAATTTCTGTACTATTGTGTTACATCACCTAATTTCACTACTGATTCATCATCTCCCCAGAAACCAGGTTCTCAAGTTCACACTTACATGTAATCAGATTAGATATGATAATGTATGCAATTTGGCCCAAAACAGTCAAAGTGAGGCATTGTTGTGAAGGAGGGATACTGCAAAACGGTCACTGCACCGAGGTGAGATGGACGGCTATATACAGGTCTCTTGTCACGCTGATGGATTGGATTACCTGTGCGAGCTCCTACCGAACCTTGTTAATTAAACTTCATACAGATTATGAATGAATGTGGTGTGGACTGAGGGTCATTGTGTCAGAGACACTGTAGAAGGACAGAGTTCCTGCACTGTGATCCACATACACTCCTATTCTAGAGTAGCTGGAGACTACAGGGAGTTTAGTCTCTGTTACTGTGCCAGAATGAGCAGCTGGAGTCAGAGCAGTACAAACTCTAGGACTGATGATTAAATCCAAATCCACACTCATCACCCTCTCCCTTTCTACAGATGCTCTTATATGACACTGATATATCCACTCAACCACTCCACTCCACCTCCCAGTAACAGCATCCACACACACTCTCTCTACACAACACCTGAGGCCAAATACCAAATCTGTCTGGATGTTTTTATTCACTGTATTTATATCCAGAGTGAACTGATGAGAATCTGAAGAAAATGAAAAAACACAATCTGCATCAGGAAATATGAATTAAAATATCAATACACAGTTCAGTTCCTCAGGTTTTCTCTCTCTGGCCGAGCGATGCCCACGAGTCTCCGTCTCTCCAGGCCAATTACTGCAATCAGACACAGGTGTTCATCATTTTGCACTTGACCTACTTACTCACCGCTCGTCTCCCACCCACCCCTCTCTCCCGCTGCAAATTTCGCTGAACCACGCCCCCCTCAGTTTAGGTTTACAATCGGGATTAGGTGCTTCTACACCCTTGTTAATCAGCTATCATTTCCCTCTGATTTTAGGAATAAATGATGGGTAAGGTTAGGTTTAGGGGTAGGGATTGGGTTAAGTCTGTATTTTTGGACAGTAATGTTGATCCAGGACTAGGATCAACAAAAGATGTTGATCCAGGAGCATTTCTTACTTGGCAAAATCACGGTGACCATGTGTTTGTATAGGGACTTTCATTGTAGAAACTCCTCTCTGGTCTTGGGCTCTGGAGTGAGAAAGATCTCAACGCATGTTACTGTGGAATAAAAAAATCAGAGAAGATAATTGTACAATTTCCATGTATGAAAATGTAATATACATACATGTAAATCTATTCTAAATTCCTTTTTTGTTCTCCCTGCATATTTACAAAGACACAAGAGAAACACCAGATAAAGACACAGAAACATTTGATAGAAACAAATGTCTGTACAACATGCTCTTCCTTTCCTAAAGACCACTGTCCTGTTTGTCAGATCGCTGTTACCAGGAGGAAATGGATGTGATGGTCTGTGTGTGAAAGCTGCTCCAGCTCAGCGTTTCTCCTCCTCAGATCTTCAATCTCCTGCTCCAGTCGCTTCAGTTGTTCTTCAGCTCGACTCACTGCAGCCTTTTCTTGAGCTCTGATCAGCCGTGTCACCTCAGAGCGGCTTCTCTCAATGGAGCGGATCAGATCAGTAAAGATCCTCTCACTGTCCTCCACTGCTGTCTGTGCACAGCGCTGTTAGGACACACAGAGAGAGAAGCATCAGAATCAGTCCATTCACTCAGCTCTTACTGCTGCCTCACACAGCCTGTTCCCCACAGTGGGCTTCAGTGGGACTGAAAGAGCTCCAGCACTGGCTCCTCACTGACTGACTGGAGGAGAGTCCTAACAGAGTCTGAAACAGCTCTTCAGCAGCCAGCAGTTGTTCTTCTGCTCAAAACTCACCTTGTGAGACTCCATAGCCTTTCTCAGCTCCTCAAGCTGCTTCTGTCTCTCCTGGATTTTGTGGCAGAATTTTCTTCGAGTTTCCTTCAACTGTCTCTGTTTTGGAAAATTTCTTGTTCAATATATGTGTTTGTAATCCAATAACTTTTAAACTTAAAATATAGGAGTTTATCTTTTTTTTATTGTTAATCTTCCAAATCACTTTAAGTTTTAGTGTTACAACCCAATTTCTTTTTATATCAGCCATTACTGCATGATCAATTAAACCCTTTATAATATATATTTAAATGTATCACATTGCAACTGATATTAATAATTGCATTGGAGCTCTAATATCAGTTCATACCTCTTTCTCAGTCCTCTGTGCTGCAGCTGATACATTCTCATGGTTTTTGTGTTCATCCACTGTATACAGATAACATATACAGTGTTCATCAGTGAGAGTAAATCTCCAGCAGTTTCTCATGTTGAGCAGGCACGTGCACACAGACATAAAAGGGGGGTTGAGCACCTGCCCTTTTTCTTCCTCGTGAGAAAGTGCCCTTTTTTCTGGGGAGTTTTTTTTTTAATAAATGAATATACGTATATATGTGTGTTTCTGTTTGCGCACAGCTTTCCCTGTCAAGCTAATAAAAAAAATAAAAATATCAGGTCGAGTCAGGAAATGTTGAGACTCTGTCGAGTTCCGATGCCTTTCTCCCCTCCGCGTCTCCGCACAGCACAGCAGTGTAGCACTGATCGGCACATCACACCCATAGACTGTATAAAAACAGATCACCACAGACAGGCAGAGAGCCCGAGAAGCGAAGCCCTCCCTCCCTTTCCAGTTGTGTTTGTCTTGGTGTGGAGGTGAGTGGTGATGAACAAACGACTAAGCTATTTGTGCCTCGAATTTACAGCTAATTAACCAAAAAGTAAATATACTTACTTTATCTTGCTAGCATCCATGACTCATAAGAGCTATGTGTGTTAACTAAAGTCTAGTCGGTTAGACCAGTGCGCGTTCTTTCACTGCATGATTCAGTTTACTAAAATGCATTTAGAATTATCACAAAATTCAAGATATGGGGGCAGAAATGTATATATTTATATCATTTCATATAGTTATCAGTATCGCGCTAAGACTGACAGCATGATTACAAATGTGATTTTGATTTTATATAGCAGTTCAGTAAACAAGAATTTAATATCAAGATACTTACGTTTTAGACACAATACTGACTGTTTTTGCTCTATTTCGCCAACATATATAATTCCAATTTGCGTCTCTGAGCAACATGATGGTGTTTCGTTCCTAAATGAATCAACCGTATAAATGATTCGGTTCAATCGCAATGACTCTCTTATTAACAGTGACTTGCTGCCACCTACTGACAGTTTTAATTTTACATTTAAAGTGCCTTTTCATTAAAAAAAAAAAAATTATTATTCAATGTTTTATGTTTAAAATATCAAAACAGTTTTAATGCATTTGTAACTGCAGGTTAAATGCATTCCTGTCCTGCATTAAACAGTGTGTAAATGCATTTAAATGCCACTTCTAATGCAGCTTCTGTGTTTTCTCTGCATTGCAAAGGTTAATTTTGTCAATACTGATTTCATTTGCTTGGTAACAGCCCAAATGACTTATTATTCTAATTGACTGATTCAAGTTAAGAATTTGACTGAAAAGATGATGCACACTTTTAGAAAAACGGGCTTTATAAAGATAAAAATGCCCATAAAAGGTAAAAAATCAATTTAAACTTATTAGAAAAGATTAATTTCTATCACTGCTGTGAACTGACCACCACACAGAATATGCAGAATATCAAAAACTTTAGGAGTCAGCTGTCCACGGTAGTCCTTAAGATATCAGCACAATAACACACACAGCAAAATATTGTCTAATTATTGTTATCGATAAAATCTCAGAAAATATTGAGATATATATTTTTTTGTCAATATCACACACCCCTAATGTATTTAACGTTTTGTTTAGAAAAAATAAAAAATAAATATGAGAGGTGCCCTTTTTTCCACTTGAGCCCCTGCCCCTCAAAATGTCTGTACACGTCCCTGATGTTGAGGGCAGATCATCTCCTGCAGTCGTCCAATGGCATCCATTAGATTGTGTCTCTTACCTCTGAAGAAAGTCTCATGTTCTTCAAGATGATTTTAAGAGTTCAGACACACCAGACAGGACTTGATGGCTTTGTTTTTGTCCCCAGTACAGACGTCACACTCCACATCTCTAGATCCAGTATAACATTGAGCAGGATGAGCAGCTTGTAGTTTTGTCTTCTTGAGTTTCTCCAGCACTTCAGCCAGCATGGTGTTTTTACCTAAAACAGGTTTTGGAGTGAAGGTCTGTCTGCATTAAGGGTAGCTGTAGACTCCCTTCTAATCATTCTGATCCCAGTAACCTGTAATACAATTCATACAGAAACTGTGTCCACAGGTAATGATCAGTTGAACTGATCATGAGCCAAATATACACTGGATTCTGCCATTTTACTAAACACAGAGACAGCAGTTCTTCAACAGAAACAGTAAAGCACAAAGAAACATCAGACAAAATTTCACTGCCAGTCTGAGCAGGAAGAAAATAGATTAGTATTTTATGACAGTAAAGGTAGGTGTGCTGGATGGAATAAAGTTCAAACAGGAGGAATTGTATGAGTAACCTTTGCTCTTTCAGATTATTTTGAGCAGTCTGCGAAGAAGAAGCTCAATTAATGTATTGGTTATACTATAGATTCTCTGCACTTCTTTTAATAAAGTTTTAACTATTAATTACAAAATATATTACTGCATATTTAAAATTACTCACAAACACCAATGCTGGGATGTTTGTGTTGTTTTATTGCATTGTTTTTTGTCTCTATTCTATCTTTTGTTCTTTGTATAGTAGCCTACATTGTGATATGTAGTTTTATTTAGCACTGGTAATCCAGATATTGGTAAGATTTTTTTTTTTTTTTGGTGTGTGTATGAAGTCATTTCCCCTCAAGATCTGGAACGAGGAAGTGCCCCAGCTAGCAGAATAGAATAGGTAGTTAACTATTATGTTCTACATCTGACGACCAGACAGTGTTCAAATACCTCCTGTCTTAATTTTTGAACAATATATCTATCGTTTTTATAATTTAGAACCTACAATTTTTTTTCATTTTTTTCCCTGAAAATTTTTCTTGTAGTGTCTTAAATAAACACTTGTTTTGATAATTTTGTTATCTAATGCAATGAAAACGCCGAGTTAAATTATTTTGGAGAGCACTTCTTTTTGAATTCCCAGTTTCTTAATGATAGCCTACTTATGTGCGGTTTTTCATCAGTAGCCTCACGGTGGCGTCAGATTACCGTCATACGGCCTTCCAGAGTGAGTTCACACAGGCACCGGCCCTCAGCGCGCTCGTGGGGAAAGTGGGCGCGAGCGTGCCGGAGGAGTTCGCTCGCGCCGCGGCTCAGGAAGGAACTTCGACGCTCAACTGTCCCAGCAAGACCAATGAACGCCAAACTGGTCATGTTTCTTAAACCCTAGCCCACGAAACACCTGGAATATCGCGTCAGGTACGTTAATCTGTCGGTAACCTGTGGAAATAGAAACAATTATAGGTGTTTAATCGGGTTTACGGATTTTGTAAACGTGTTAGCTGGTTAGCAGGTAGGAATGAGAGCGAACCTGTTTTCTCAGGTCTACTCGCCTCTTTCCAGTGGAGATAACCAAGTATACAGACTTTAACAATGAATTTGCTGAGAAAATTACATTTGAAAGTTTAATTTGAAATGTTAACCTGTCACACGGGTGAGTTTTAAAGTGTGCCCCTCACCTGAGGGAAGGAATTCCACCTCAGATTAAAGATCTTCTCTTTAGCGTCCTTGTTTTTATCTTTTTTTTTTTTTTTTTTTTTTTTTTTTTTTGAACTTTGTTTTTTCAGTTGGATTATGTTTGACAGGGAAAGCTAATTTCGCGACATTTGATATTGATGTGTCATTGTTTGAAGTGTGTATATGACAATGATACAGATTTATGTCATACGCGGAGGTAAAATTACAAGGAAATTGCTAATCTTATGTCACATATAGGGGGAAATGATAATTGTCAACGGCAAATTGTAAAACGTTTTTTTATATGTACTGCCATGCAGTTTAACACTGAATTTAAACGGCTTTACAGAGTTTAAAATCTATAATATAACAGCACTTTCAACTGTCATGTTGACGGGGGCAGTATGTGTATGTGAGTGATTGTGTTTGAGATAATGAGGTCTCTCTCTCTCTCTCTCTCTCTGTCTGTGTGTGTATGTGTGTGTGTGTGTGTGTGTGTGTGTGTGTGTGTGTGTGTGTGTTTGGGTGGGTGGAGCTTCTGTCACGTTTTGCTCTTACATTGTCTTTTTAAACTTTTTGTGCATTATTTATTTATTCGATTAACTGAATCACTGGCTTTGTGCTCACTGACATTCTTGTCATTCATTAAAAGTTTTCCCATGATAAATAAAAATACCCTGTGAATGAAACCTGGTTGGTATTCTAGTCCAAAAACATGAAAGAAAGCTTTGATCTTTCTCCAGGTTTCCCAACATCACGGGAAACTTGGAAAAGTCATGTGGAAATGAATAAAATCGTTAAAAAGTGTCACATGTGTAGGGTTTATAAATTTGTCTAGTTATTTTATTGGCTAGAAATTGTGTTTGAGAATTGTTGTTTCCTTATAAAATTATATATAAAGATACAGTAATCATGAATTACTAAAAAGTCTTGGAAAAAGTCACAAAAATGTATTGGTCCAAAGATGTTAGGAACCTTTTCTTTTCTTTTCCTTTCTTTATCTCTTTGCATCGCAAAATCGCATTCTCAGACACTTCACCGCAGGGTTTACTCTTCCTGATGTCATCACTCATGGGATCAGGCTTGTGTTCAGTAAGCCAGTGTTTAGTTACTGAGTTCAGCTGTTTCTGGTTAAGCAGCATGCCAGCATGGGGTATCAGAGATTTCTTTTGATGCTGTGCTTTATTTATGAGGACTGAAAGACACCTGCACAATCAGTTGTTCAAAGAAAGTTCAGTGGATTTTATTTAGAGTTTTATTATACTTTTTTTTTTCTAAACATAAAATCAGATTTGGCTTTTACAGTTGGTTATTGCCAATGAGCATTTCTAATATATGACATTAAATGTACCATGTCCTGTTTAGTGTCTGGTGCTGAAGGAAAATTCTATGTAAACTCTAAACAAATAAATTACAGTATGTTACCAACCATTAACATTATTAAAAACACTAAAATTGCCGTTATCCCAGCATAAGCACAGAACTGAATGTAGATTTATTAACATGGATGGTATCAGTAATGTGACAAAGTCCTTGGTGTGTGTTAGCAAAATCATTGTTGCGCTTATTTGTAATTACTTAGAAGTTTCAGTGCCAACATTAAAAACTTTTGGCCCTGCAGATATGAGTAGTACTTATGACAGATATGTTTTGTTTTGTGTAATATTGTCATGTTTAGCATAGTTGAATGTATATGGTGTGTGTTTAAAGTTGTCACCTGTAAAAAAAAATCACTGAAAAGGCCACTGAATCTGCTATGTATAATTTACATGACCTCATAATTGTGTCTCAGTCAGGATGAGTTGCTCAAGTCAAAGTCTGGATGTTTGCTGTGTGCTGAAGTTCGTATACTGTACCCTGAAGCACATTCCTCTTTGTTTCAAAATCCTGGTTTCTCCATAGTGGTGGATGTTTTGAACTCACAGGAAGGAGTTTTTATCTTCATGTTTTTATTTGCGCACCTTACACATAAGGTTGCAAAAAGGTGGAAAATGTCCAGTAAATTTTGGAAATATTCCAGAAATTTTGGAAACTTTCCAGAATTTTTTGGAATATTCCAGGGATTTTTGGAAATTTACCGGAAATTTTCCACCCCTTTTGCAACCCTACTTACACATAATACTGTGTGTTAAAATGTTACTAGATGAGAAATTAGAATTTGGAGGCTAAATTTGCATGTTTGTATAGAAAAGAGGTCATTCGGACGTTCATGAGAGTAGTTGTTCAGGTGAAAGAGATATATATCTTTAATATATGGGTCAAAATATTGAACTCTAATTATTGTTTGTCTCTTTGTTTACATCATTTAATTAATAGCTTTGTTTGTTTCTTTTTCTTTCAATCCAAATGTTTTAAACTATTTCTTTGTAATTTTAATAGGTAATAATTGTATTTGTTTTTATTCCAGTTTTGCTTTCCATTTTGATAGTCTTTATTATCAATTAAATTAACAAGCCAGTTTAATGACATCACATTCCAGGAAGTGACTGGAAGTTGGAAAATTAACAGCATAAATTTTATTTAATTTGATTGTATTTTTGTTTTTTTCAATTTAATTGATCATTTTTTATTATCCGTTTTTTTCTGAGTCAAAGAGGAAACCGAATGACATTGCTTGGCCAAGCATTTATTTGTTAATCTTCAGTCATTTCCCGCAACACTGCCTTGACTTTGCAATCGCAGAACATTTCAATCCTGTCATCAGTCATTGATATTTCTGATAAAATGTCCTCTTGTCTCTCTCTCTTTTTTCCTCTTTAGCTGATTCCATTTCAACCCAACACACCTTAACATGCCCCACTCCTTCTGCTATTGACCTTTGACCTCTGACAGCAATGGCGGACCGCTCGGTGGCTCCAGGTCAGACGTACATAGAGGTGGAGTATGACTACGAGTACAAATCCAAAGACCGTTTGATCACCATTAAACAGGGGGAAAGTTACGTGCTTGTGAAGAAGTCCAATGAAGACTGGTGGCAGGTGCGCAAGGATGAGGCCACTAAACCCTTCTATGTCCCAGCGCAGTATGTGCGGGAGGTGCGACGTGCTCTCATGCCCCCTCCTAAACCCCTCGGTGCAGCAGGCCGAGGGGGGACTGGACCCATTCGACCATCTGGCCTGGAGATTCAGCGTCCATATGACAACAAAAAGAGCCCGTGTCCCTCTCCCTCTGGCAGTGCTTTACTGCCGCCCAGGGATGACAGAGGCAGCCCGGGCAGCCCGACCACGCTCGTCCCCCCCACACAAATGAACACTTCACCTGGCTCACTTCCTCGTTCCAGAGCCGAGTCCCCAAGTCACAAAGTAGATGGAGATAAAGAGTTAGAGAAGAGCAGTCGAGGACTGGAAAAAGATGCAATTCATGAAGAGTTTGCCAGAGAGGGAGGCGGCTTGGATAAGAACCGAAATGATTCAGAATCCGGGGATGATCTCAGCAGCGGTTCAACTGATAACCTACAGGTGAGACTCACTTGTATACCCACTCATTAAAGGTGATGTTATTAAGTTTCTGTGCTATTAGTGTCACCTAGCAGAATTTCAAAAATAAAGCTTGTTTGCAAACGCTCTTTACACTCATCACACCCTGTCACACAGTATCTTACTATTTTATCTGGGGCTTGACTGTAAAGAGGTAACGTGCGGCAAAACTTGACTTTAACTTAGCTGTTGAGAAGAAGCTCCACAAATTTAGTGTCTCAATTAAAGGCCGAATACTTGATCAAATTCCTGCATCTCGTAAAAATACTGTCAATGTTTACCCTTTTTTTTTAACCCATTGTCTGTCTTTTAAGTGAATTTTGGCAAGTCTTCAAATTTTTGCTTGCATTTCTGCATCCGAATCTGAATTTATTTTCCCTAAAGTAGCCACGCCCCAAACTCTTGCTATTGGTTGATCTAAAAAGTGGCTGATGGATCTTAGTAGGCCACTCTAAATGTTTTGGTGGTGCCTGGGAGGCTCAATGTTTACACTTTTTGAGAGATAAACTCATGTATAGCAGACTTATGGTAGTCAATGAGCAGTAAACTGGGTGTAGAGAATGTATTTTGACCTAAAAAATATTACAAATTTAGATGAGTTTAATTGGCAAATGTTCTGCTATTGAAAAGAGATTTAAGAAAAGCTGACACATACGATCTGTTTGATACACACAAACATGTAGACATGTTCATTCTTTAAACACATTCCTGTACGACACTGTATTGGACTCATTCGGTTTTTTTTAAGCCATTGCTCTCTTTCATTCTCTCTCTCTCTCTCTCTTTCTCTCTCTCACAGTCACACTCCCTCCTTTCCGTGAAGTTCTTATTTTCGTCATCTCCTCCCACTGTTTTTCTGTCTTATCCTTCTGCTGTGTCATCACAGCATTTCTGCTAAACAGCAAATATTTGCTGTTGTGTCATCATGGCATGTGTAGGATGGCGTGAATGCTTTGTTTTTAATGCTTACTCACAGATACACTATCGTTAAAAAAACGTTTAATTGACAAGGATGCGTTCAACTGATAAAAACTGACAGTAAAGACCTTTCAAATAAATGATGTTTCTTTTAAACGTTATATTCATCAGAGAATCCCTAAACATATATATCAAGCTTTTCACAAAAATATTAAGCAGCAAAACGTCTCAGGTTACTTATGTAACCATGGTTCCCTGAGTAGGGAACGAGACACTGCGTCCTCTAGGGGTCGCTATGGGGAACGCCTCGTCGTGACCCGTGTCTGAAGCATACATTGAAAAAACACCAACTCGTTGGCCGGCGACAGCCATGACGTCACTACCGACTATAGTATAAATAGGCGCCGGGAGCACACATCATTCACTTCTTCGTCTGAAGCTTGCGTCCGCAGCATGGCAAGAAACCTAGAGGACGCAG